GCATTACCCGGCGCCGCCGAGAGCGGCCCTGCGCAGTTCTCACACGCGCATACACCATCACAGCGATGTACGAAAGATGTGGCAAGGCAAGCAGAGGGCCAGAACGTGGGCCTCCAACCACCCGGAGCAGCCAAAGAATTGCCAATCTAGTTGTGGCGCCATAGTCAAAGTAGAAAACTGCGGCAGGGAGACACCATGGGATGACGCGGCCCCCATGGCTCTCCTGCCAGAACGCACATTGAAAGATTGCAAAACGGGAAGGTAGGTTTTGTCAGAAATGAGGTTTGAAACCGCACTGCGCACGGATGCAACAACCGCTGCCTATGTCCAGAGGCAACAGGAGACACGAAGGAGAGGGCGATGCCCCTACTGGTTGAGGCACGGTAGCGACGTCAAGACACCAAGCAGGGCTTGGTACTGCAAGGCTTTACGACCGCTGCAATCACTCACACAAGCATCAAAGCATTGCAGGCGTGAAGGAACAAGGGGTATACCTCAGCACGCTAACTGCAGAATACCCCCCTCCCCCTGCAATTGGCCCAAATAGGCGTAGGAAGGGTAAGTAAAACAGGCTCCTTCCGGCAAGCGCTGCCACTGCGCCCCAACTCCCCTAGAACCGTCACTTTGGCGCCTTGCAGGCTCCCCACCTGCGATGGAGCAGGAATGCACTCATCCGCAGATTGGTGTCTACCCAAACCCGAACACCCGCTGCAGGCAGTCGCCAGACCCTGGCTGCACTGGATGCATGAGCGCAAACTCGTGCCACGTATCCTGGCACACATCAAAAGCGGTTCTTCGGACTGCCCACTCTCGCCCTCCGAAAGCCTGGAAGTGGCAACTCTAGCGTATACCGCTTTCTTCAGATATGAGCCCCGAAATTTGTGAAGGCAACTGGAAGATGGCCGAAGACGAGCCAGAAACCGTGCAAGGCTTGCTGCGCAATGAAATTGCCAACAACTGGATTGTTGAAACCAGCCTTAGCATAGCTGACGCTCGGGAAAAATGGCCCTTAGGCATTGCCGTGGGCAAGCTAAATGTCGTGTTCGCCGAAGGCAAAGAGCCGCGCCTTGTCTTGGATAGCACCGTGTGCCAAGTCAATACCAGATGCCATTTGCCAGAGCGCCTTAGCTTGCCAATGGCATCTGATTTGGCGCTGTCCACGCAGCCAGAAGACACTCCAGGCGCCTTCATAGGCGCCAGCATTGACTTTAAAGCCGCACACAAACAAGTGCAGGTCCGCCCGGAAGAGCATGGCCTTCTACTCTTCGCCTTTCAGGGGAAGCTCTACCACTACAGGGTGTGCCATTTTGGGGGCCGTTTCTCGGCTTTCTGGTGGCAGCGCACCGGCGGATTCTTGCTTCGTCAGGTGCATGGGTTGCTAGCCTGGAAGCCACACAAAGCCTTCCTCTTTGTGGATGACCTGCTCTGTGCACTCTTCCGGGATAGCGCGCCAGACATGTTTGCCTTGGTGGTGCTCTTCTTTTGTGCCATTGCAGCACCCATTTCGTGGAAAAAGGCGCAACTCCAGGATAGCCTGGTTTGGTGCGGTTGGGAGATCAACTTCTCTCACGACACCATTCAGCTCGTGTCCGCTAAGCTCACCAAGCTGGACGCCTTGATCAAATCCCTTTTGGGAAATCGACGTGTGCCCCGCAAAACACTCGAGCAGTGCATAGGCCTGCTTATTTGGGCCACCAGCATTGCCCTACACCTCAGGTCCTGGCTAGCACCGCTGTACGCGGACCTCAACAGCCCACCAGGCTCCATGCACTCAATACCGCCGCAAATGTGGTCAGCCTTTAGAGCATCCTTGACTAAGGACCTCAAAACTAGCCATAGCCTCCCGGGCTTGTGGATCACAGTGGGCTCCAAAATCTTGGAAATTTCAGGCCGCACCATGCATTGCCCCCAAGACATCCCGCAAGTGCCTGGCACTAGCAAGCCCACATGGGTGCGCATCGCGGACCCCAACAACCCACACACCAGCCTTTCCAAGTCAAGCCAACAGTGCCTTACTTGGCTGGCGTCGTGCTGTCGACACTCGCCTATTCAGCCTTTGGCGCGGCCACACCAGCTGCAAGCTCTGGCTGCCGCCGACGCGTGTGCCGAAGATGATATGGTGGGGATTGGGGGCTGGGCAATCACATCCTCCCAAGTGGTGTGGTTCGCCGAGACCTGGAACATGCAAGACATAAGAGCCGTGTGGCCTTGCCTTGTCAAGCCAGGACAACGGTACATCGCATGCTTTGAAACTCTTGCACAGTTAGCACTGCTGCAAGCAACCCACAGCCACATTGGTGGTGGGCACTACTCGTTTAGCATGCCTTCCGGCACAGACAATTCCGCCACGGAAGCAAGCCTTAACAAACTGTTCACGACCTCCTGGCCGTTGCAACTTTTTGTGCAATTAACAGCCTTCTGGGCTCACGCTCACAATGTGCTGCTGCAGCCGACGCACGTTCCAGGAAGGTGCAATGATTGGGCAGACGATCTCAGCAGAGGTCGGTTGGCCCGGTTGAGCCATCGCCCTGAAAGTCGCGTACGCTTCAGCCCTGCAAGCCTAGCGATGTCAGGCCGAGGCATTCAACTGTGTCCGATGCATGCGCCCTGGCGTCCGGAACATTTGGCAGCAGCCTCCGTCGCCGCTGCACCAGCCTAGCTTGCATCCGACATGGCCTTCTGACCCAATATCCGCCGTTGCCCTGTCAGCCAGAACAACTGGCGATGTCAGCCAGCCGCATACTCAAGCCGCTCTGACCGGGAAAAAGTGCAGTCACCGCATGCCAAGCTGCTCACAGCACAGCGTGCATGGTGACGCTAGCATCTGCCCTTGCAGGTACAACCCCACTCTGAAGGGCGGGTGATGAGGCCTTCGGCCCAGCGGGTTCGCTTTTACCGGGGTTGCCTGAAACACTGAAGGGGGGGTCAATGTGCCTCCTGCTCCAGGCGCACTAGTGCCCTGGAAGCAGTGCAACTTTCAGCAATCCCGGTAAAAAGAACTGCGGCCGCTTCGGACAAGCTTTGTTCTTTTGAGGTTTCATGTTTGGGATCAAGCTAGGAGCAGTGCGACATGCCTTAACTCACAGTTTTTCTTGACCTCACGTGCCCTGTGCCCAGACTTCGACGTGCAGATCTTCTCGCAGCGCCGCGCTTTGGACACTTTTTGTTGCAGGTGGATCCAATCAATTTGTCAGGCCCCCTGATCTTTGGCCTAGCGAGGCCCGGACACCCCCCCCCCCGTCCCGTGCCGCGACTCGAAGACGTTCTGCCTGGGCCTTTTTGCTGATTGCGCCGTCAGTGTTGATGCGCGGATTTCAACTGAGCTTTCAGGGTTGGGCCCAACCTTGATCTCTTTGACCCGGTGAGGCCCGAGTGGTTTGCGTTGCTTTTTTGTGTGCTTTTCCCAACCCCGTCAAGCCGCGCCGTCAGGCCCGTGTATCTTTTGGAAATCGTGACCACGTTGAGCCAGGCCCGCATTTTGTGTTGTCTCTCCAACCTGGTGAACCCTTGACCTTGAGAGCGATTGCCCCAACCCCGTCAAGTCGTACTGGGGTCCCTGGGGTCCCTGCTGCGTCCCTGGGCACGCGTGCGTCGCCAGGGTCCCAAAGTCCATCCATCCTTGTCAACGCACGGCGTTTTCAGGGATTTTAGGGACCCCAGAAACCTTACGGACCCTAGGGACCTTAGGGACCCTTGGGACCTTAGGCAGGGACCTTAGGGACCCCAAAAACCTTAGGGACCCCAGGGACCTTAGGACCCCAGGGACCCTGGGTCTTGGGGGCAAGAGATCCTGTGAAGTGTGAAGTCATCTCTCAAGCTTCGGTTGGTTGCAGCTTGCCACGCAAGGGGACACAAAGACGCGCGGAAGGGCAAAGCTTCTGTTGTTTTTCCATTCGAGCAACTTTCCATACATCTATTTATCTTCGTGTACTCATATCTATTTATTTTCATACATTTATATCTTCATATCTCTGCGTATTTGTATCTCTTTATGAATTTTCATATATTTATATCTTTGCATTTCTACAAATTCATATCTTTATATCTTTGTATCTTTATACCTTTCTCTTTATATCTTTATATCTTTATGTCTTTGCCTTTATGTTGGTATGTCTCTACATTGTGTTTTCTACATCCGTGTTTGTAGTTGGGAGATGATGTTGTGGTGTTGTGGCCCATTTGCAATGTGTGTGTGTGTGTGTGTGTCTTGGCTTCGGCATTTTGTGTTTTTGCATGACCCTATGATGCTGGAGAATGCCCAGGCTGAGTGGTACCCGGCGTGAAGTTCTTGCCAAGATCCCTTCAAGCCCCAAAATCCTTGGGGCCACCAAGGATCTATTGAAGTCCCTGGGTCGCTGGGTCCCTGAAGTCCTCGGAGTCCCTAGGGTTGCTAGGGTCCCTAAGGTCCCTAAGGTCCCTAAGGTCCCCAAGGTCCCTAAGGTCCCTAAAGTCCCCAAGGTCCCTGAACCCGCCGTGCGTTGACAGAGCGCACTCTGGGGCCTTGACCCCAGCGACTCTAGGGCACCCTAGGGACCTTAGGGAGCTTAGGGACCCTACGGAATGTAGGGAATCTAGGGACCCAGGGACCCCAGAGGCCCCAGTGATCCCAGGGACCAGGGACCCAGAAACCCCCGCCCTTCAGCCTCTGGCGGCCCGGTGCCGATTTCGGCTGCTTGTTTTGCAGGCAGGCCAGTTTGGTATCTCGCTTGGACTTTGATGCAGCGGCAGGATGTGGGTCAGCCAGTCTGACGGATGGACGGCGCGAAGCCTTGCAAGGCTTGGCCCGACCGACCTTCAGGCCGCGAGTGAAAAGGAGGAGGAGCATCCAAACCCGTGCGTTGGTGTTGCCAAAGAAGCCAGTCAATCTTGTGTTTGCTCTGGAAACTTGGCTCGAGGGTACTCATCAACACTGACACAACAACAGCTCGCAATGGTTGCCCGATGGGTCTAGTGCCAGTGCTTGAGGAATCGCAGGCCGCTCAAGCGCTTTTCGAATAGCCATGGCGATGATGCGGACCAGGACCAAAAGCCGAGGCTGGCAAGCTTGTGACGCTACCGTGCCCGCGGTAGGCAGCGGCCAGGTATGTGCCTCTGCCTTCTCGGGATTGCATTGGCGCTGCTCGTGCAGCCGAGCACGGCCTGGGTCTTGGGACACATTTTTTTCGAAGGTTTTCGGGTTTCAGGAGTCCCTTGTCGCCGCCGCCCAGGACTTTGCTCGAGGAGTTCCTGGGCTGAAGGAGCATGAAGTCCCTCCTTTGCATGTTCTTGTTTCGTGCTGAGTGCCAGGACAGCATATTGGCCCAGTTCTCAGAGTTGCCCGCAGGCGCAAGCAGATTGCACTTTGGCTCTTTCAGGCAAAACGGCACCCGTTGCATGCCGGAGTCGCTCGGCGCGCCGGGGCTGCGCAAGAGGACTCCTCCGACCCGAAGCCCGTTCGCATCTTTTGCCGGTTGCCGCCAGGACAACAGTGGCCAGGCCTGGGGGACACGTGCATCGGGCTTGAACGTTGGGCTTGTTGGTTGTCAGGACTGGCGCGATCTTGAGGAGGCGGCGGACCAGAGAATGCGGGCCGAGTTCGTGGAAGAGGCAGGGCTGTTTGCTTCCTTTGCCGATCCACATTTCGCGGCATTTTCTTTTTCCGCCAAAGCAGCCAAAAGGGCATTGGAGAAGGCTGTCTGTTTGTGTGTGCTGCTTCGGTGTGTGAGTCTTGCTGGGCAGGACCTGCTCCTGGCGCGGCAGCAGCTGCAATTTGCTCTGGAGGAGCAAGAGACGGCCCAGGCGCAGGTCGCGACAGCCCAGGAGCAGGTCGCGACAGCCCAGGAGCAGGAAGCAATTGCGGTGAGGCGTCTCGCTCGGGCGGAGGAATCGGGCGATGCGAAAAAGGTGCAGGCGGCGGAGAGGAAGGTGCAGGTGGCGGAGAGGAAGGTGGAGAGGGCGAAGAAGGAGGTCCAGGAGGCGGAGAGGAAGGTGGAGAAGGCGAAGAAGGAGGTGGAGAAGGCGGAAAGGAAGGTGGAGAGGGCGAAGAAGGAGGTCAAGGAGGCGAAGGCAAGCGGCCGGACGAAGGAGTCCGAGGCGGGCGGAGTCGGTCGCTTCCGCCGGCCGGCTGCGTTCTGGGACTCTGATCGTTGCGTGCGGTTCTGAAATTCCCCGCGCGGCCCGCACATGGTTTTGGTGGGGCTGCCCTGATCGCATCCACAGAACCAGGAAATCCCAACATTGCATTTGTGCAGATTGCAGCGCTTCCTGTCTTCATAGATTTCAAGTGGCTGCATTGTTGGCAGACGTGAAACGAATCAGTGTGGAGGCCCATGAATCGATGTTGCCCTTCCTTGCCATTTGGGAGGTCGTTCGCTTCTGCCGGTAAGTGGTTCGGTTTTTCCCTCCCCACCTGCTTTTTGAAGAACAAGACCTGCCCTTCGGCAAACTCTGATGCCGTTGCAGCCATTGGGGTCGTTGCCGCTGCAGGCACAAGTCAATGGTTTTATTTTGTTCCGACAGCATGAGCATGGAGGAGATTGCTAACATGTGCGCAATGTATTTCGGCTGTTGGCTGACTTTTTGTTGAGGTGTGCCGTTGGTCGTTGTGTGTAGTTTTGACTTCCCCAGCTCGCAAATGCTTGCAGTGGGGCTGCCCTGATCACATCCACAGAACCAGGAAATCCATTGCTCGACACTGAATGTACTTGATGCCACTCTCTCTCCTCATCAAACTTGCAGTGTTTCGACTCAGTGGGGAGGCCATAAAGAGATTGTTGAGCTTAACCACGCATCCGCTTCCTTCTTTTTGGACTTCAGCTGGCTGCATTTTTGGCAGACGGCATTGTTCCGATGTGGAGCCCCAGGAACATCCCCAGCTTTGCGTCCACGGGCAGCGATTGTACGGTGTTTTGTTTCGGCTTGCCCTGCTAATGATCGATTTTCTCCCTAATTGCGAGAGAAGGGTGGCTCGCTGGCTTTGATTTCTCCCGCCTGGAATTGTTTCAGCGGGGAGAGCTGCAGAACTAGTCTTCCTGCAACTCTGAGAAAGAAGTGAAATCTGCACGTTTAACAAAAAGCCCACATTCGTGGCCACCCCACAAGCTGCGGGCCACAGGTGGACATTGCTGAGGCGTTGGCCGAAATGCTGTTCAACACCACGGACACCCAGTGGCCGCTGGTCAGCGCCAAGTATTCTGCAGCTTCCAGCAGCATCATAGACCTGAGCCGTGGCGCTTTCAGAGGAGTACTGCCAGTAGGCAAAGAGGACAAGGCCCAGTTGCTCGACCGCCAAGAAGAGGTTGCTTTCATTGTGCAGCAACTCAAGATGCGAGCGGACGATTTGAAAGGTCGAATGGGCACTGACAAGCGAGCTTCCCCAGCAATGGTAGTAGCACAGGCCCCTGGCTCTGGCAAAAGCCACTTCCTGGCCAAGTTGGGCGAGCAGCTGCCGAGCCTGTACGACTTGGAGGGCAATAACCAAACACCTATCGTTAGCGCATTCACCTACAACTCCGGGATGAGCACAGCTTTGAAACATGAATCCGGCAAGACGGACGTTTTGGCCGACTTGGCCTTGCGAATCATCTATGGCGCGGCGAGGCACATGACTGAGAACGGATGCCAGTGCTGCAGCTGGGATGGCTTCTTGCATGAACTTCGCAGTGCAAGGCGCAATGAGATTCTGGCCACCCTGCGAAGCGACCCAACGTTTGCGGTCAAGCTGCTGCGCAACTGGTATGGAGCCCGCCCTTTGGTGATCCTTGCCGACGAGGTTGGCAAGTCTGAAGACGAAGCTGCGGTGCGACATTGTCTGTGCAACTCCATGGACACCTGGGGCGGGCAAGCTTTCGTGGTTATGTCGGCGCTGAGTGAATATGACGAACTGAAGGCAATGTTCAATGGCAGCCAGCGAGACTACCACATCCTGGCGTTGCGGACCCTGGATTGTGACACCTTCAGGCTTTTTAGCGCAATGCTTCAAAAGCTGAATGACAAGCAGAACGCAAGCGTGAAGAGAAATATCCTTGAGTACCGCATCGCACTTGCCTGGGGCACCACTGGAGGCTACGCAAGAGCCGTTGAGATTTTGGCAGAGTACATCGGGAGAGCAGAGCTGGGTGCTGGGTTGGTTCTCAAAATGGCTTTGGACCACCTTGCCAAGGTAAATCATCCCCTTCCTCCAAGTTTCACATTGGAGGTTTTGGAGGAAGTGCTTGCAGTGTGGGAGGACGATTCACGAATGTTTTCCTTGGACAAACTCTTGGCATACAGTGCTCGTTTTGCCAAAGCCATCTACACAGGGAGCGTCCTTCTGGAGTCACTTCAGTTGGGAGCAGGATACTATCCGACTGTGGCGTCGTGGCATGCGGCCCAACTCTTTTGCAGCCCTGTAAGGCGAGAAAAGGAATTGCTTGGGATTCTTCCCAGATGTCGGAAGCTGATGGAGATGGCAGGCCAAGCATACAAGAGCAAGGTTGCTGCCGTAAATCAAGATGAGGAGTTGGAGATAATAAAGCAGGCGAGCGCATACCTCACTGAAGTCGCAGCAGCTTTCGGTGTCATGATTGCCATCGTGAAGAAGTATGAGAAGCTGCCACCAGCGCTCCTTCAGGGGGCCTGCCAAAGCATTTGTGACATTGGCTTTGATGATTCGCTTGCGCAGAAGTCAGACCTTGCGACACGAGGCGAAGAGGATGCACCCCAAAAGCTCAAGGAGTTTTTAAAGCAATCCCAGGCACGTGGCAGAAATCAGACTCAGCCGTTCTTGCTGATCATGGCCCCCCAGAGTTGCCAGGCGCTCGACTTTGTCATATACTGCAAGGACAAGCAAGCTTTGGTGGCGGTTCAAGTAAAGTCCGACACGCCCAGCAATCGAAAGGCCAAAAGAAGGCAACTCAACAAACTCAAGAAAGCAGCACAGGACTTACAGGAATGTGGCACGGACATGCTGGCAGTTGTTGCCTCGGAGAGTGCAGAGCTTGGCGAGTTGCAATTTCGTTGTTTGCAGCTGAGCGACATACGGCAGCTGGTGCCCCCTTTCCTACGTCACCTCTCCGGTCTTGCTGCCGGATTTGACGCAGCTGGTAATGCCCCTGGCCAAGACGACGTTTCAAGCAAGCCCAGAGCTGGCGGGGAAAAAGTGGCATCACTGAATCATTTCAGGCTTCATGTTCTGTGTAAGAGGGAGCTAGGAGTAACATAGTCGACGAGGCTTCATTTTGCTGATCTCTGGTTAGCAGTCATGCTGAACGGACCATGCGCTTTGGGTCCAATATTCCCCGCAGCCTAAGCCACATTGCTTATGCAAAGCTTGGTGCGAAGGTTGCAAAGCTTGCTGTGAACTGCCCAGGACCGCTAAGCTGCCATGCCATGCTGATTGTGCTGGGTTCCACTGCTTCAGGGCAGGGCTGTGGTTCTTCATGATCAAAACCAGAAGAAGATAGGGTGTGCAAGGGCTGCCCCAGGAAAGTCGTCCAGCTGCCTCACCGCAGCGGGCCTGCCCCGCCTTGTCAGCCTGCCCGCGGCGTTGCCGCTGCCCAGAGGGGCAGGCAGGGCCAGCTTCAGCAGGGTCTCGCGGCCCTCTGTGCTTCTGACCGTCATGGAGTCCACGGCCTGCAGCCGCTGCACGTCGCCGTACTGCGGGTTGAAGCTCCGGGTCGCGTTGGTGGGCGCCCTGAAGTCCCATGCGTCCTCGATCGCTTTCATGCGCCGGTCCGTCAAATCCTTGTTTTGCTGGAACTTGTCGGCGTTGTCCTGCAGCAGCCGGAACTCGGTGGCCGGCTGCTTCTCCACGTCCTCGGGGGCGCCGTGCTGCCCGAGACGGCGCCGGTGGACGTCAGCGTGGCCTGGATGCGCCGCGAAGTGCAGCTTCGCAATCCCGTTCGGCGGCACGGTGAAGTACATCTTGGCCGTGCTCCAAGCGCCCTGGTCCCCCACGAAGCTGCCGTACAGGGGATCGTAGACGTTGTCGGCCTCGGACATGTACACCACGAAGTTGGAGGCCGTGCCGAGCCGATACCGGCAGGCGAAGAGGAGCTCTCGGCCGGGGGTCAAGTTGTAGGTGCGCACGATGTTCCAGGGGTTCACTGCCAGGGTCATGGTGTAGCCGTCCACGCTCACGGTGTGCGTGGCCAGGACCACGCTGCATCCGCTGCTGGGACGAACCGTCCAGTTCGTCAGGGAGACGTCCGTGGGGCCCAGGATCTGCTCACCGATGGCGGCCACCACCTCGTCGGCCCCTCCGTCGTCCGGGAAGCTATCTCCATGGAACTGTTCTTGCCCGACCTCAGGCTCGTGATGGAGTCGGCCCCGCTGTAGAGCTCCCGGGCCTCCGGCACGTCGTTGACGCTCACGACGAAGGGCAGGCCGCTTGCAAAGAGCGCGTCTTGGAGCTCTGAGTGGAAGGCCAGGTTGTGGCCCTGCCCCCTCGTGCCGTAGAAGTTCATGACACGACCGAGGAAAATATAGGGAGAGTCCGCGTAAATGCATTGCTGGGGTGCCGGGGGCAGCGCTCGCAGATAGGCCAGCGCATCCTGGTGCCGCACGGTCACGTTGGACGGTGGCAGCTGCAGCCACCGCACGCAGCTCGGGGGCAGTGGCTGCTGCTGCCGTGCGAAGGAGCCCCACTTTCCTGAGAAGCTGTTGCGCAGCAGGGCGTACGCGCAGGCCGCCCGGCGCCCGGCAGGGCCTCTCAGCGCGCCCGGCAGGAGGCGTCTGAAGTAGAAGTGCCTGTCCACGTCGCGCCCCGCCAGGTGCGCCAGGGAGCGCAGGAAGACCGGGTCTTGCCTCAAGTAGCAGCGGCCCAGGTTCACGACGGGCTCGAATGTCCGCGCCACGCACCTCCAGGCCCGGGCGCCGCCGGGCAAGGTAGTACTCTAGCTTTCCGGAACCGAAGAAGGGCGAGTGCAGCACCGACACGTCGCCCAGCAGCAGGTCCAGGTGTGGAGCCAGCCACGACTCACTGCCCATATACTTCAGCTACATGCCGGCCTTGGCAAGACCGTGGCGCTCATCAGCCTGGCAGCTGCGCGGAGTAAGAAGCGGTCAGTTCCTTCAAGTTAATGAACAATGGACATGGAACGGGGCATTTGCGTTCGCCAATGGCTGGCGCTGTCTGCCCAAGACAAAGGCGTGTGAGAGCAAAGGGAAGACTGTCGGTAGTCCGGTGGGTTTGCTGCCTGCTTTTCTTCTTGAGATTAGCAGCGCCCTTGGGCTGGGTGTCGCTACAGACTGGGTCCCTGGCCGGTCCTTGGCTCATGGCCATTTCCGCTTGCCTTGCTTACGGCTATGGTTGCAGAGGACGCTGGGGTGCCCGCGTGTTGCTTGTGCCTGATGAGAGAGGCCTTTGGCTCTTTTTATTTTCTAGACTTTGGTTGTCGTTCGAGAGGCCCGAGGCATATGGAGCGGTCACCTACCATAGCAGTAAAGCCATGTGGCCCTTGCCCAACCATGCGTTTTATGCAGAATGGTTGGATTTCCCGGCCTTCCGCCCACCTTACATGCTTGAGGTTGACTGTGAGCCAGAGAACGATGCCGATGACGAGGCTTCGGACGTTGAGCGACCGGACATGCCTGGCTTTGAATGGCTTCGTGATTTCCAGGTCAGGCCTGTTGGGCAAAGTGCTCTCGCGGACGCACAAAAGTGCTCAAATTTAGCGCAGGAAGTCGTACGGAAAGGAAAACAGGGGAACTCCCCAGCGGAGCTTTTGCCACTCACGGAGTTCCGCATTGATCACCCCTGCCTAACCGATCTTGCCTGCCTGCCAATGGACTGGCCTTTCCGTAGACTTGTCTTTGCCATCGACGCGCTGCCTTGGAGCCGAGAAGGCGTCCTTGCCGACCAAGAAGCTTTGCTTGCTGCCTTTGAGGATTTGCCGGAGGCTGGCTTTGGCCTTGACCCGACACCTCACCTGCTTGACATGCCCCGTAGCATTCCTTGCCTCCATTTGTGGCAAGGCTTTTCGTGTTAGCCACAACCTGCAGTGGCCGGACGAGCTGCGGCTCCTGGAGCTTGGCGCATGAGACATGCCTTAAGCCTTTGGATGCATGAGGGCTCAAGATGACAGCCTTTGGAAAGAGAGATAAAAGTGCTTGAGTGTCGGGGTTGTGTTTTCATGGTGGCGGAGCACTGGATAACAGATCCGGTGCTTTGCCCTGCCTAAGCCATGGATACTGCAGTGTTACAACAGTTGCTTCAAGCAGCTACAGATGCCGCAAGTGCAGCAGCGAGAGCAAGCACCTCCGCAGGGAATGTTAGCCAGATTGGCAAGTTGGTTAAGCAACCTACTGTCTTTGGATCGATTTCAGTTGAGACCAAGCATGGAAATTACGCTTTACAAGTTGGCTTTCCTTGCAGAGCAAGCCTATGTACGACATGGTGGAAGCAGCTGAAGCGAATCCTAGTCATGAACAGGCTATGGTTGACTTGGATGAAGGGCAAACAGAAGTGGTTTTGCAGTTGCACAGTGTGTTGCTTGCATTTACACAAGGCAATGCCTTCAGGATTGTGGAAGATGTCCGAGATTGTTGTGGTGGTGAAGCTTTCAGGAGATTGTTGGTTGAGAATGAGCCGAAGACTACATCTCGTGCCGCAGCTTTGATGGAATGCATCATGGCATATCAGCCCACCAACAAAGAATTTTCTTTGAGGCAGAAAGTTGCAGAGATTGAGGAACTTTTTGATGCGTACAAGAGTACCGCTGGGAACGAGATTGACAACATCATGAAGGTTGCAGTTTTGATGAGGCTTTTGAAACCTGAGTTGAAACGTCATGTTCAGCTACAGATGACTGCAACAACAACGTATACGCAAGCGCGCGACATGATTACTGATTATGACAGGGCAACAGCAACGTGGGCAGTTGATACTGTTCGACCAACATTTGCTAGCTCTTTGCTAGCTCATCTTCAGGTGATGGCTTGGTTCCCATGGACGTTGACCAAGTGCGCATGGAGTACAAAGGAAAGGGTAAAGGTGGTAAAAGAAAAGGCAAACGTGCCAAAGGAAAGGACAAGGGCGGCAAGGACAAATCAAAAGGTTTGGCTCTAAGTCACAGCAGTACAACAATGAGCGCAAAGGAAAGGGCAAGGGCAAGCAGGAACGTGGTAAGGGCAGTGGAAATGCGCTGAAAACCTGTTTTGTATGCAATAAGACAGGTCACATTGCAAAGGATTGCTGGAGCAGACAGTCGCAGGTACGGTCAGTTGACGCTGTTGATGGATCAGCAACACAGCAGAGAACTGATGCAGAGAGCCAGCGATTTTCTAGCTCGGCAAGCATGAGCGCTGCAACCACGAGCAACATCAGGCAAGTTTTGATGTATGACATGTCAACCCCGAGAGCACATGTTTCAGGACCGAGCCGATTTAGGATTGACTCATATGACGAGGAGGAGTTTCCATCTCGTGTGAATGTGGTGCATATGGTTCAAGCAGATGTGCAAACAACACACCGATGCACTACAGCAGTGAATAACATGCATGAGATGAAACACTGTGACCATTTTGACATGAGTTGCAGTGACTTGGATTGCGACTGGGATTTATCTCCATGCTTTGCATCTTTTTCTTGCATGCAGTATTGCAACGCGATTCAGCAGCCTGTCAGGGATGATGCTGGATCTGCAATTGACTCCACCATTGTGATTGATACCGGCGCAGATGTGAGTGTTGCACCCATGTGGTGTATGGGTATTGGTGCGGTTTCAAACCTCATTTCTGACAAAACCTACCTTCCCATTTTGCAATCTTTCAATGTGCGTTCTGGCAGGAGAGCCATGGGGGCCGCGTCAGCCGCAGTTTTCTACTTTGACTATGGCGCCACAACTAGATTGGCGATTCTTTGGCTGCTCCGGGTGGTCGGAGGCCCACGCTGTCCCTGCTTCTGGCCCTCTGCTTGCCTCATCTTTCGTACATCGCTGTGATGGTGTATGCGCATGTGAGAACTGCGCAGGGCCGCTCTCGGCGGCACCGGGTAATGCCTGTGCGCTGCGCTAATTCATGCATGTCTCGCATTACCTGGCCACTTACTGTGGCTTTTTTGCCCGTGAGTGATGTTTAATTCCTCTCGATGTTTTGCTTGGCGGACTTTCTACGCCTTACTTGCGCATTTTGCTCTCTCTGCATGGCCATTTATGGGGGTTAACGATGCGCAAATGTGCCCCCGGCTCTAACTGTGCCTCGGGCTTGGGCGCTGCCTTGGGGGCAGGCTTGGGCTTGGGTGTTGCCTTGGGCTTGGGTGCTGCCTTGGTCAAGGGTGCTGCCTTGGGTGCTGCCTTGGGCGCTGCCTTGGGCATGGGTGCTGCCTTGGGTGCTGCCGGCGGATTGTGATGCCTGTGCGCTGCGGTAATTCATGCATGTCTCGCATTCCCTGGCCACTTACTGTGGTTTTTTTGCCCGTGAGAGATTTTTAATTCCTCTCGATGTTTTGCTTGGCGGTTTCTACGCCTCACTTGCGCATTTTGCTCTCTCTGCATGGCCATTTATGGGGGTTAACGATGCGCAAATGTGCCCCCGGCGGATTGGAGCGCGCATTTGTTGACTCTTATGCCTGCCACTTCAATTTTTATTTGGACTCAATGAAGTTCAGTTCATGAAATTTGGAGCGGTTGCTCTTACGTTGTCGATTCCCATGTGGGCGAAATGATTGACTGTTTGTTGGTGTTGTCTTTTCTCTGGTTCGTTGTTTTGTGCGTTGTTTCTGTGTTTTCTTTGTTGTTTTGGTTACGGTCGTTTCGTTCGCGTGGCATCTTCTGTGTCTCACATCCGTCTCACTTCGTTTTTATGTTTATTAGGTTTCGTGACCGATGGCAATTGCCCCAAGGCGCGCAGGTGACAAAAAAAAACCTGTCCTTCACATCGCCGTAGTCGCGCCAAATGCGGCTCGACCGCGAAGACAGCTTGTTAACGCACCTCTTCTCGAATTCCCCCCAGGCCGCCCAGGCCTCGGAATCCCTTTCCATCGCAAGGCAGGCGTTCTGCCTGGGTCCTTGGTCCTCGCCGAAGCTGCTGAGCTCCCGGAGGACGTGAGTCCACGCGGACTGCCAGACGATGGGCTTCCCCTCGTACCTAAGGGGCGCCGACTTGGCGCCCTTGGGGCTCGTCTGTACCTCGCCCAGGGCCGACGCTTTGGTCGGACCATTTTTTTTATACTCGCTTTATAAGAAAAGGACCGGCAAGCAAAGTCAAGATGACTACCATCGCCACTAGCGTCGCCCTCGGCTCAAGCGGCTCGAGGGCCGCCATTTCCGGAAAAAAACGCGTTTTTGTCTGTTTTTTCCGTAAATTCAGGTGATTTTGCATGACAGGTTGCCGGTGTTGCGTTTTTCTCACGATTTTCACGTTGTCGGTCGTGTTTGGAAAGAGCTTCCCCAAGCACGTGAGCCTTGTGAAGGCGAGATTTGGGGGCACTCTGGGGTCCGGGGCGGCAGGGAACCGCTCGCGGGTACAAAGGCGTGGTTTCAGACTGACAGTTTTTCTTGACCTCACGTGCCCTGTGCCCAGACTTCGACGTGTCGCAGCGCCGCGCTTTGGAGTTGCCTTTTTGTCACTTTTTGTTGCAGGTGGATCCAATTAATTTGTCAGGCCCCCTGATCTTTGGCCTAGCGAGGCCCGGACACCCCCCCCCGTCCCGTGCCAGGATTTGCGCGACTCGAAGACGTTCTGCCTGGGCCTTTTTGCTGATTGCGCCGTCAGTGTTGATGCGCGGATTTCAACTGAGCTTTCAGGGTTGGGCCCAACCTTGATCTCTTTGACCCGGTGAGGCCCGAGTGGTTTGCGTTGCTTTTTTGTGTGCTTTTCCCAACCCCGTCAAGCCGCGCCGTCAGGCCCGTGTATCTTTGGAAATCGTGACCTCGTTGAGCCAGGCCCGCATTTTGTGTTGTCTCTCCAACCTGGTGAACCCTTGACCTTGAGAGCGATTGCCCCAACCCCGTCAAGTCGTACTGTCAGGTTTTTTGTAAGTCAGGCAGTGTGGTTTCCTCAAAATCGCCTCTTTTTTCCTGGCGCTCAGGCACTCCGAACTTTTGAGCTTGCGCCTCGAGCTCCACGTTCCGCCCGGGTCCTCGCCGCGTTCCGTTGTCATGGCCAAGAGGTCCCGTGCAGGTTATTGTCATTTGATCTTTGTCACCAATCTGTCAGCCCCCTTGATCTTTGACCCAGTAAGGCCCTGACGGTCCCCGGGTCTCGAGGGTCCCTGGTTCCTGGGGTCCCTGGGGTCCCTGCTGCGTCCCTGGGCACGCGTGCGTCGCCAGGGTCCCAAAGTCCATCCATCCTTGTCAACGCACGGCGTTTTCAGGGATTTTAGGGACCCCAGAAACCTTACGGACCGTAGGGACCTTAGGGACCTTAGGGACCCTTGGGACCTTAGGGACCCCAGGGACCTTAGGGACCCCAAAAACCTTAGGGACCCTGGGTCTTGGGGGCAAGAGATCCTGTGAAGTGTGAAGTCATCTCTCAAGCTTCGGTTGGTTGCAGCTTGCCACGCAAGGGGACACAAAGACGCGCGGAAGGGCAAAGCTTCTGTTGTTTTTCCATTCGAGCAACTTTCCATACATCTATTTATCTTCGTGTACTCATATCTATTTATTTTCATACATTTATATCTTCATATCTTATCTAGGTTCAAAAGGCCTGTGGGCCTGATTCTGAGGTTCTTGTTCCGTCGCGAACGTGCGCGGTGCGCGGGGGGTGCTCGCGGGGGGGCGCGCGTGCGTGCGCGCGGGGCGCGCGTGTGCGCGCGCGGGGCGCGCGTGTGTGCGTACGGGGCGCGCGTTGCGTGCGCGTGGGGCGTGCGCGCGCGTGCGTGCGCGCGTGCGTGCGTGCGTGCGTGCGCTCGTGCGTGCGCGCTGGCGTGCGTGCGTGCGTGCGTGCGTGTGCATGTGCGCGTGCGCGTAGGCGGGCGGGCAGTGGGCGGGTGGGCGGGCGGGCGGGCAGTGGGCGGGTGGGCGGGCGGGGCTTCCAAAGATTCCAAGGCGTAAAAGACACTTCCAACATACAGGCTGGGAAGACCTTAATTTAAACCTTTCTGATGCTTGACCATTTGCACCTCGAGGACCTGGAAGCAAGTTCCCTGAAAAGCAAGGAACTAGAAAGAATGACCTGCAAGCAAGGACCTGGAAGCAGCGAACTGGAAGCAGAGAATTGTTTCCTTTACTAGGAAGATACTAAGAAAAAACAAAATGACACAACATGATAGAAGATGTAAAAAAGATATCCCATGCTATGATAACTTTAAACCACAGATAAAACACTGTGAAATAATTGACTTTGTCCAAAAAGCGAGCAATAAAGGATGATCCGCGAGCCATCGCACATACTTTGGGTGGATAAACGCACGAATGACAGGCGAACAGCAGCGAGCCAGCTGCATATTTTTTGCTGCGATCCGTCCTAGACCAAATGGATCGGCGAGTCCGCCGTAACCTTTACAAGCTGCGGATCACAAAATGCGACTTGCCCAGGTCTACGAAGCTCACTGGTTTCAGCATGCCCAGACTTTGCGAACTGCCCGTCGCTTGCAAAGCAGACTTTTTTGCAGAGCCTGATACCTGTAGAGCCAACTTGCACAGCGCTTGCCCTTGAGTAGAAGAAAGGTTGCAACAGGTGGCAGGAAGGGCCAGGTGAGTCAGTAGTTGCGACTTTCGAGCTGGAACTGCGGAAGGAAGTGTCAAGCACTGTTCTCTCGTTATAGACTAACGAGGGGCCCCCGCTACACACCTCCGTGCCAGGATTTGCGCCGCGTCGCACGTTGCGCACCCTTCTAAAAGTAGCAAGATATAATCCTAATCCAAACAATGGCATCATCCTTGCGCAATAAGACAAGTAACTGGTGCAGTAAAACCAAGGAGGGAAAGCCTGGCCTTGCAAAGAAGAGGTCTGGAGGGGCTTTGGTTGCTGGTTTGGAGGGGGCTGCTGTTTGTTTCATTTAGTTTGGGTTAGTAGTTGCTGGTTTGGAGGGGCCGCTTGTTTCGTTCCAGCTTCATTAATGTTGTGTTGGTGGTTTGGATGGGGCCGCTTTTGTATTTAGTTTGGGTTGGTGGTTTGGAGGGGTCCGCTTTTTCCAATTGGTTTGTGTTGCTGGTTTGGAGGGGCCGCTTGTTTCATCTAGTTTGCGTTGGCGCTTTTCCACTTAGTTTGGGTTGGTGCAACGGTTGGTGGTTGTAATGTCATCTAATTAATTGTTGTTGGCGGTGTGGAGGGGGCCGCTTTTTCCATTTACCATAATTTGGGTATGTTTGGGTTTGTGATTTGGATGGGGCCGCTATCTTGGAGGGGCCGCTTGTTTCATTTAGTTTGGGTTGGCGGAAGTTGCGAAAGACAAACCAAAGGTCAAAATCCAGGGCCTAGTTCCTGATTTAGAACCAAGTTCAAAACGTTGAAAGTCCCAGGTCCCCCCAAAGTGATGTTTCTGCACACAGGGGCCCAAGCGCTTCAAAAGTCCAGGGTCCTCGCAATAGTCTTTCTTTATTTAGGGAGGTCAAACAGTAGTTGGATTCTTTCAGGGCCTGTCGGCGGCCTGCTTTGTCGGGCTGCTGCTTGTTGCGATGTCCAATTAGTAGCTTGTTGTGTGCGCCTGCCGATTTTTTGTGCAGCGCTGGATTGCTGCTTATTTTTGCGAAGTGGGACATTTTTTGTAGGGCGTCTAATTTGCTTATTGTGCGGGGATGCTGCTTTTTTGTGCGCCGCTGGATTTTTCAGGGCCTGTCACTGGCCTGCTTGGTCGGCCTCCTGCTTTTCGTGAAGTGGGGTTTTGTCCGTTGGGCTCTTAGTTTGTTGTTTTGTGTGGCTGCCGTTTTCTTTTTTGCGCAGCTGGATTTTGTTCAGGGCCTGTCACTGCCCCGCTTGGTCGGGCTGCTGTTTTTCGTGAAGTTGTTTTTTTAGTAGGGCTTCTAATTTGCTTATTTTTCGTGGATCTGCTTGGTCGGCCTGCTGCTTTTCGTGAAGCGTTGTTGTTGTTTTTTCCGAAGTGCTTTCAGTTTGCTTGTTGTGTGCGCCTGCCGTTTTTTAGCGCAGTTGGATTTTTTCAGGGCCTGTCACTGGCCTGCTTGGTCGGCCTGCTGCTTTTTGTAAGTGGGATTTGTTTTGAAGGGCTTCTAGTTTGCTTGTTGTGTGCGCCTACCGGTTTTTGTAATGCAGTTGGATTTTGCTCCTTGCCTGTCGCCGGCCTGCTTGGTCGGGCTCAAGTAGTTAGAGCTTCTAATTTGCTTGTTGCGTGCGCCTGCTGCTGTTTGTGCAGCGCTGGATTTTGTTCAAGGCCTTGTAGGGCTTCTAATTTGCTTCTTGTGCCTGGATGCTGTTCTTTGCGCGCAACTGTTTTTGTTCAGGGCCTGTCACTGGCCTGCTTGGTCGGCCTGTTTCTTTTCGTGAAGTGCTATTTTCCGTTGGGCTTCTACTTTGTTTTTTTTGGGTGTGTGGCTCCCGTTTTCGTTTTTGTGCAGCTGGATTTTGTTCAGGGCCTGTCACTGCAATGCTTGGTTGCGCAGCTGGATTTTTTCAGGGCCTGTCACTGGCCTGCTTGGTTGGCCTACTGCTTTTTGTGAAATGAGATTGTTTAGTAGAGCTTGTCATAACATCAAGCAATAAGGAAAACATTCCATCAAAGTGAGGAAGGCCACGCATCACAACAACACTGATGTGCCTTTTAATAGTGGCAAAGCCCTTTTGCTTGAAAAGTGCATTTGATGCGCTATCTAAACTTGCAAAACTAGCAAACCAGACCAAACATAGCAAAGCAGATAAGAACACAAAACACAAGAGCAAAATAAACACAGATATGCAAACAGATGCTTTATTATCTTCAATTTCTTTTGGTTAGAAGAGATGTGGAAGGTACAAAGATGTCTTATCTTTTAGTTTCCTGAGTAGCTACGCCTACGTCTACTATATCCCCTGCGGAACATAACCAACCGCATCTGATAAGAAAAAATGTTAGCCACCACAAAAACAGACTTATATCTGACTTACTCTCTTCTATTTCAATCCATTTCCAAGCTGTCTGACTCCGAACCTTCTTACAACTGGAAGCCACTGCATTATGCATGGGGCTGACTCCGCGCCCGCTCACCCCCGCGCGCGCCCGTCCCCCCCGCGCGTACACACGTACACCCCGCCCGCGCGCCCGCGCGCGCACCGGGCACGTACACAAATAAGGGCTAGTTTTTCAAAAATAAGGCCTTATTTTTGAAAAACTAGCCCTTATTTGTGTACGTGCCCGGTGCGCGCGCGGGCGCGCGGGCGGGGTGTACGTGAGCACGCGCGGCGGGAACGGGCGCGCGCGCGGGGTGTACGTGCGTGCGCGCGGAGTGCGCGCACGGGCGTGCAAACGCGCGCGCGCGCGCGCCAGGCGCGGGCCTGGCCTTATTTTGCAAACTAGCCCTTATTTGTGTACATGCCCGGCGTGCGCGCGGGGCGCGCCGGCGCGCTTGCGGGAGTGCACATGTGTACGCGCAGGGTGAACAAGCGCGCGGGCGCGCGACGCGTGAGTGCGTGCGTGCAGGGTGCGCGCAGGCGTGCAGGCGCTGTAGGTCCTAGTTTTTGGATTAATTCTTGAACAACTAGCCCTTATTGGTGTACGTGCCCGCCGTGCGTGCGGGGCGCGGGCGCGCGGGGGTGTACGTGCGCGCGTGCGGGGTGAGCGGGCGCGCGCAGGCGCACGTGCACGTACAGGGGGCAAACAAGCCAGCCCCATGCATGAAGGAGTTACTTCCAGGGGCCTCGCGCCCAACTCCCTGAGTTCAGTTCCTTGCTTTCACCTGCTTGCTCTCAGGCGCCTGCGTCCTGGACCTTAGCCTGTGCTTCCAGCTCCTCTTTTCCAGTCCTTGCTCCTTGTTCCCTGCTTGCAGATTTGTTGCTCCAGTTCCCTGCTTCCTGTTTCCAAGTCTTTGCTTCCCTGCTTTCCAATTCCTTGCTTTCAGTCCGCTGCTTCCAGTTCCCTGCTTCCAGCTTTGCGGCTTCCATTTCCATACTTCCAGGTCCCTGCTTCTACGTAGCTCCCTGCTTCGCTTCCCCTGCTTTTCAGGTCCAGTTCCGCCAGCTTTCCTTGTCCAATTCCATGCTTCCAGTTTCCAGTTCCTGCTTCCAAGCCCTTGCCTTGTTCTGGCTTCTTCCTTGCTTTTCAATTCCGCGCTTCAGTTCGCTGCCTCCAGTTCCCAAGCCCAGTTTCTTGTTTCCAGCCCCCTGCTTCTAGTTCTCTGCTTTGCTTCCAGGTCCAGGACCTCCGTGCTGGTTCCTTGGGAAGGCTGGCTCCGAACGCGGCGCAAACGCGGGCGACGCAGGTGATGCAGGCGATGCGCGCGCAGGGGTTGCGAGGCGGCGACGCTGCCGACGCTGCCGGGATGCTAGGGTTTTTTGCAGTGTTTTGCGCCTTCCCCCCAACTCGAGCTGCGTCCGCAAACGTTTCCCGCAAAGCAGTGCGGGTGAGAAATCGCATCTCGGGCAAAAAACCATGGTCGTCCAAATCAGACCACGTCCAACCGTCCTGTTTCGTGGGCAAATCAGGGCGGGTAAGAAAGCGCAGCGCGTCGAACAACTCAGGAAAAGAACCCGGCCTGTTTCTTGGTCAGAATCAGGACCGGCAAGAAACAGGGTATAAAGAATCGCAGCTCGTCCGACCCGTCCTGTTTCCCCGCAAAACCGAACGAGTGAGAAATCAGGGCTAGTCCAACCCGTCCCGCTTCTCCGGCGAATCAAGACGGCCAAAAAATCACAGCTCGCCCAAGCTGTGCGGCTTCCTGGCCAAAACACGGGTAAAAAGCGTAAAAAGCACGCAAGAAACCACAGCTGGTCCAACCTTTCCTGTTTCCCGGATCGCGTTTCAGAACTTGCCCAACCCGCCCTATTGCTCTTGTTCGTCGAACCCGTCAAATTTTTCGAGCAAATCGCAGCCCGTCTGCTATCAGGACCCGGAATAACTACTGCTAATTAAGAACAGTGAAGCAATGCAGAAGCTTTCCGAGCTAATGCGAGGACAAGCAAAAGCGCCGCCCACTCCTAGTTGAGCCTGAAGGAAAAGCGCGCCCTGTTTTTCGAGCAAATCACGCCCGTCCTGTTTTTCAGGCAAATCAGGACAGGCTCAGGACAAGCAAAGACGTCGTCCGCCCCACTCCCCCAGTTGAGCCTGAAGGAAAAAGCATTGCTCGTCGAACCAGTCCTGTTTTCGAGCAAATCAGGACGGGAAAGAAATAGCTTGCCCAGCCGGCCCACCCCGTCCTGTTTTCCAGGCAAATCAGGACGGGCTCAGGACAAGCAAAAACATCGTCCACTCCTAGTTGAGACTGATCCAACCCATCCTGTTGTTCAATTCAGGACGGGTTTGCCGCGTCCAACCCGTCCATCAGAACGGGCTCAGCACTCAGCACAAGCAAAAAAACGTCGCCATTGCACCCCTAGTTTGGGCCTGAAGGAAAAAGCGTTGCTCGTCCAACCAGTCCTGGTTTCGAACAAATCAGGATGGGAAAAAACGGCTTGTCCAGCCGGCCCAACCCGTCCTGTTTTCCATGCAAACCAGGGCAGAAATTCGCCCAACCGTCCTGTTTTTTTGAGCAAAATCAAGACGGGCAAAAAGCCAGCTTGTCCAGCCGGTCCAACCCGTCCTTTTCAGGATGGGCTCAGGGCAAGCAAAACACCGTCCACTCCTAGCTCCCCCTGAAGGAAAAAGTATGGCTCGCCCAACCCGTCCTGCTTTTTTCAAGCAAATCAAACAGCTTGTCCAGCCAATACGCAAATCAGGACTAGAATCGGCTAGGACTGGTCCTGGGACCAGGGGCACCAGGAATCCATCCGAAGTTCACAGCGACCGCAAACAAAAACCCAAAAAAAAACACGCTACTCCGCTCTGGAGTGAGCTTGAGAACAGGAAGCAGAGAGGCTGGCGGATTCTAGAAGTGCCTTGGAAATCACGCACACGCGCGCACGCACGCGTGTCCGCGCGCCCGCCTCTCCGCACGTACGCCCGCACGCCGGCGCGTGCGACCCGCACACACCCGCGCACGCACCTGGTCGCCCGGCGAGCATGCGCGCTCCCCGCGCGCACGCACGCACGCGCGCCTCCCCGCATGGCCGCGCGCGCTCTCATCCATCGCCCACCCACCCAACCCACCCACCCCACCCACCCCACCCACCCCACCCACCCACTCGCCCCACCCACCCCACCCACTCGCCCCCCACCCGCCCACCCCCAGCCATGCACCCGTCCATCCATCCAGCCAGCCATCCATCCATCCCGCTCGTGCGAGCGTGCGGAACAGTCTAATCTGCCTCTCTGATGTTTGGCCGAATTGGCTTCACTTACAAGACGCAAATTGTGGAGGCGTTTTAGGCAGTGCCGTTTTCCTTTTCGTTTCCAACGATTCCAAAGCAAGACATTATATAGAACCTCTATGGTGGAGCTGAAAACAGGGAACTGGAGCACGGATGCGCGCCCCACGCACCCTGCGCGCACGCCCGCGCGCCCCCCGCGCTCACGCACGCGTGCCCTGCGCGTACGCATGCGCGCCCCGCGCGTACGCGCGCGTGCGCCCCGCACTTACGCACGCGCGCGCGTGCGCGCGCCCTGCGCGTACGCACGCGCGCCCCGCGCGTACGCGCGCGCGCGCCCCGCACGCACGCACGCGCGCGCGTGCGCGCGCCCTGCGCGTACGCACGTGCGCCCTGCACGTGCGCACGCGCGTCCCGCACGTACGCACACACGTGCGCATCTTCAGATCATCCTTACACAGGCCCCTTGGACTTAGCTAATTCATATCTCTACGTATTTGTATCTCTTTATGAATTTTCATATATTTATATCTTTGTATTTCTACAAATTCATATCTTTATATCTTTGTATCTTTATACCTTTCTCTTTATATCTTTATATCTTTATGTCTTTGTGCCTTTATGTTGGTATGTCTCTACATGGTGTTTTCTACATCCGTGTTTGTAGTTGGGAGATGATGTTGTGGTGTTGTGGCCCATTTGCAATGTGTGTGTGTGTGTCTTGGCTTCGGCATTTTGTGTTTTTGCATGACCCTATGATGCTGGAGAATGCCCAGGCTGAGTGGTACCCGGCGTGAAGTTCTTGCCAAGATCCCTTCAAGCCCCAAAATCCTTGGGGCCACCAAGGATCTATTGAAGTCCCTGGGTCGCTGGGTCCCTGAAGTCCTCGGAGTCCCTAGGGTTGCTAGGGTCCCTAAGGTCCCTAAGGTCCCTAAGGTCCCCAAGGTCCCTAAGGTCCCTAAGTCCCTGAACCCGCCGTGCGTTGACAGGGATGAGCGCACTCTGGGGCCTTGACCCCAGCGACTCTAGGGGACCCTAGGGACCTTAGGGGACCCCAGAGGCCCCAGTGATCCCAGGGACCAGGGACCCAGAAACCCCCGCCCTTCAGCCTCTGGCGGCCCGGTGCCGATTTCGGCTGCTTGTTTTGCAGGCAGGCCAGTTTGGTATCTCGCTTGGACTTTGATGCAGCGGCAGGATGTGGGTCAGCCAGTCTGACGGATGGACGGCGCGAAGCCTTGCAAGGCTTGGCCCGACCGACCTTCAGGCCGCGAGTGAAAAGGAGGAGGAGCATCCAAACCCGTGCGTTGGTGTTGCCAAAGAAGCCAGTCAATCTTGTGTTTGCTCTGGAAACTTGGCTCGAGGGTACTCATCAACACTGACACAACAACAGCTCGCAATGGTTGCCCGATGGGTCTAGTGCCAGTGCTTGAGGAATCGCAGGCCGCTCAAGCGCTTTTCGAATAGCCATGGCGATGATGCGGACCAGGACCAAAAGCCGAGGCTGGCAAGCTTGTGACGCTACCGTGCCCGCGGTAGGCAGCGGCCAGGTATGTGCCTCTGCCTTCTCGGGATTGCATTGGCGCTGCTCGTGCAGCCGAGCACGGCCTGGGTCTTGGGACACATTTTTTTTCGAAGGTTTTCGGGTTTCAGGAGTCCCTTGTCGCCGCCGCCCAGGACTTTGCTCGAGGAGTTCCTGGGCTGAAGGAGCATGAAGTCCCTCCTTTGCATGTTCTTGTTTCGTGCTGAGTGCCAGGACAGCATATTGGCCCAGTTCTCAGAGTTGCCCGCAGGCGCAAGCAGATTGCACTTTGGCTCTTTCAGGCAAAACGGCACCCGTTGCATGCCGGAGTCGCTCGGCGCGCCGGGGCTGCGCAAGAGGACTCCTCCGACCCGAAGCCCGTTCGCATCTTTTGCCGGTTGCCGCCAGGACAACAGTGGCCAGGCCTGGGGGACACGTGCATCGGGCTTGAACGTTGGGCTTGTTGGTTGTCAGGACTGGCGCGATCTTGAGGAGGCGGCGGACCAGAGAATGCGGGCCGAGTTCGTGGAAGAGGCAGGGCTGTTTGCTTCCTTTGCCGATCCACATTTCGCCGCATTTTCTTTTTCCGCCAAAGCAGCCAAAAGGGCATTGGAGAAGGCCGTCTGTTTGTGTGTGCTGCTTCGGTGTGTGAGTCTTGCTGGGCAGGACCTGCTCCTGGCGCGGCAGCAGCTGCAATTTGCTCTGGAGGAGCAAGAGACGGCCCAGGCGCAGGTCGCGACAGCCCAGGAGCAGGTCGCGACAGCCCAGGAGCAGGTCGCGACAGCCCAGGAGCAGGAAGCAATTGCGGTGAGGCGTCTCGCTCGGGCGGAGGAATCGGGCGATGCGAAAAAGGTGCAGGCGGCGGAGAGGAAGGTGCAGGCGGCGGAGAGGAAGGTGCAGGTGGCGGAGAGGAAGGTGGAGAGGGCGAAGAAGGAGGTCCAGGAGGCGGAGAGGAAGGTGGAGAAGGCGGAAAGGAAGGTGGAGAGGGCGAAGAAGGAGGTCAAGGAGGCGAAGGCAAGCGGCCGGACGAAGGAGTCCGAGGCGGGCGGAGTCGGTCGCTTCCGCCGGCCGGCTGCGTTCTGGGACTCTGATCGTTGCGTGCGGTTCTGAAATTCCCCGCGCGGCCCGCACATGGTTTTGGTGGGGCTGCCCTGATCGCATCCACAGAACCAGGAAATCCCAACATTGCATTTGTGCAGATTGCAGCGCTTCCTGTCTTCATAGATTTCAAGTGGCTGCATTGTTGGCAGGCGTGAAACGAATCAGTGTGGAGGCCCATGAATCGATGTTGCCCTTCCTTGCCATTTGGGAGGTCGTTCGCTTCTGCCGGTAAGTGGTTCGGTTTTTCCCTCCCCACCTGCTTTTTGAAGAACAAGACCTGCCCTTCTGCCATGGGGGAGAGGGAAGGCAAACTCTGATGCCGTTGCAGCCATTGGGGTCGTTGCCGCTGCAGGCACAAGTCAATGGTTTTATTTTGTTCCGACAGCATGAGCATGGAGGAGATTGCTAACATGTGCGCAATGTATTTCTGCTGTTGGCTGACTTTTTGTTGAGGTGTGCCGTTGGTCGTTGTGTGTGGTTTTGACTTCCCCAGCTCGCAAATGCTTGCAGTGGGGCTGCCCTGATCACATCCACAGAACCAGGAAATCCATTGCTCGACACTGAATGTACTTGATGCCACTCTCTCTCCTCATCAAACTTGCAGTGTTTCGACTCAGTGGGGAGGCCATAAAGAGATTGTTGAGCTTAACCACGCATCCGCTTCCTTCTTTTTGGACTTCAGCTGGCTGCATTTTTGGCAGACGGCATTGTTCCGATGTGAAGCCCCAGGAACATCCCCAGCTTTGCGTCCACGGGCAGCGATTGTACGGTGTTTTGTTTCGGGTGGCTCGCTGGCTTTGATTTCTCCCGCCTGGAATTGTTTCAGCGGGGAGAGCTGCAGAACTAGTCTTCCTGCAACTCTGAGAAAGAAGTGAAATCTGCACGTTTAACAAACAGCCCACATTCGTGGCCACCCCACAAGCTGCGGGCCACAGGTGGACATTGCTGAGGCGTTGGCCGAAATGCTGTTCAACACCACGGACACCCAGTGGCCGCTGGTCAGCGCCAAGTATTCTGCAGCTTCCAGCAGCATCATAGACCTGAGCCGTGGCGCTTTCAGAGGAGTACTGCCAGTAGGCAAAGAGGACAAGGCCCAGTTGCTCGACCGCCAAGAAGAGGTTGCTTTCATTGTGCAGCAACTCAAGATGCGAGCGGACGATTTGAAAGGTCGAATGGGCACTGACAAGCGAGCTTCCCCAGCAATGGTAGTAGCACAGGCCCCTGGCTCTGGCAAAAGCCACTTCCTGGCCAAGTTGGGCGAGCAGCTGCCGAGCCTGTACGACTTGGAGGGCAATAACCAAACACCTATCGTTAGCGCATTCACCTACAACTCCGGGATGAGCACAGCTTTGAAACATGAATCCGGCAAGACGGACGTTTTGGCCGACTTGGCCTTGCGAATCATCTATGGCGCGGCGAGGCACATGACTGAGAACGGATGCCAGTGCTGCAGCTGGGATGGCTTCTTGCATGAACTTCGCAGTGCAAGGCGCAATGAGATTCTGGCCACCCTGCGAAGCGACCCAACTTTTGCGGTCAAGCTGCTGCGCAACTGGTATGGAGCCCGCCCTTTGGTGATCCTTGCCGACGAGGTTGGCAAGTCTGAAGACGAAGCTGCGGTGCGACATTGTCTGTGCAACTCCATGGACACCTGGGGCGGGCAAGCTTTCGTGGTTATGTCGGCGCTGAGTGAATATGACGAACTGAAGGCAATGTTCAATGGCAGCCAGCGAGACTACCACATCCTGGCGTTGCGGACCCTGGATTGTGACACCTTCAGGCTTTTTAGCGCAATGCTTCAAAAGCTGAATGACAAGCAGAACGCAAGCGTGAAGAGAAATATCCTTGAGTACCGCATCGCACTTGCCTGGGGCACCACTGGAGGCTACGCAAGAGCCGTTGAGATTTTGGCAGAGTACATCGGGAGAGCAGAGCTGGGTGCTGGGTTGGTTCTCAAAATGGCTTTGGACCACCTTGCCAAGGTAAATCATCCCCTTCCTCCAAGTTTCACATTGGAGGTTTTGGAGGAAGTGCTTGCAGTGTGGGAGGACGATTCACGAATGTTTTCCTTGGACAAACTCTTGGCATACAGTGCTCGTTTTGCCAAAGCCATCTACACAGGGAGCGTCCTTCTGGAGTCACTTCAGTTGGGAGCAGGATACTATCCGACTGTGGCGTCGTGGCATGCGGCCCAACTCTTTTGCAGCCCTGTAAGGCGAGAAAAGGAATTGCTTGGGATTCTTCCCAGATGTCGGAAGCTGATGGAGATGGCAGGCCAAGCATACAAGAGCAAGGTTGCTGCCGTAAATCAAGATGAGGAGTTGGAGATAATAAAGCAGGCGAGCGCATACCTCACTGAAGTCGCAGCAGCTTTCGGTGTCATGATTGCCATCGTGAAGAAGTATGAGAAGCTGCCACCAGCGCTCCTTCAGGGGGCCTGCCAAAGCATTTGTGACATTGGCTTTGATGATTCGCTTGCGCAGAAGTCAGACCTTGCGACACGAGGCGAAGAGGATGCACCCCAAAAGCTCAAGGAGTTTTTAAAGCAATCCCAGGCACGTGGCAGAAATCAGACTCAGCCGTTCTTGCTGATCATGGCCCCCCAGAGTTGCCAGGCGCTCGACTTTGTCATATACTGCAAGGACAAGCAAGCTTTGGTGGCGGTTCAAGTAAAGTCCGACACGCCCAGCAATCGAAAGGCCAAAAGAAGGCAACTCAACAAACTCAAGAAAGCAGCACAGGACTTACAGGAATGTGGCACGGACATGCTGGCAGTTGTTGCCTCGGAGAGTGCAGAGCTTGGCGAGTTGCAATTTCGTTGTTTGCAGCTGAGCGACATACGGCAGCTGGTGCCCCCTTTCCTACGTCACCTCTCCGGTCTTGCTGCCGGATTTGACGCAGCTGGTAATGCCCCTGGCCAAGACGACGTTTCAAGCAAGCCCAGAGCTGGCGGGGAAAAAGTGGCATCACTGAATCATTTCAGGCTTCATGTTCTGTGTAAGAGGGAGCTAGGAGTAACATAGTCGACGAGGCTTCATTTTGCTGATCTCTGGTTAGCTGTCATGCTGAACGGACCATGCGCTTTGGGTCCAATATTCCCCGCAGCCTAAGCCACATTGCTTATGCAAAGCTTGGTGCGAAGGTTGCAAAGCTTGCTGTGAACTGCCCAGGACCGCTAAGCTGCCATGCTGATTGTGCTGGGTTCCACTGCTTCAGGGCAGGGCTGTGGTTCTTCATGATCAAAACCAGAAGAAGATAGGGTGTGCAAGGGCTGCCCCAGGAAAGTCGTCCAGCTGCCTCACCGCAGCGGGCCTGCCCCGCCTTGTCAGCCTGCCCGCGGCGTTGCCGCTGCCCAGAGGGGCAGGCAGGGCCAGCTTCAGCAGGGTCTCGCGGCCCTCTGTGCTTCTGACCGTCATGGAGTCCACGGCCTGCAGCCGCTGCACGTCGCCGTACTGCGGGTTGAAGCTCCGGGTCGCGTTGGTGGGCGCCCTGAAGTCCCATGCGTCCTCGATCGCTTTCATGCGCCGGTCCGTCAAATCCTTGTTTTGCTGGAACTTGTCGGCGTTGTCCTGCAGCAGCCGGAACTCGGTGGCCGGCTGCTTCTCCACGTCCTCGGGGGCGCCGTGCTGCCCGAGACGGCGCCGGTGGACGTCAGCGTGGCTCCGGACACGGCGCCGGCCGTGAGCGCTGCGCAGGAGACTGCGCCCGAGGCGTCGTGTTGCCGGCCAGGGTTGCGTCCAGGATCTGGAGCCCGTAGACCTCCATCCTGCCGTCTGGTTGGCCAGGCCCGGCGCCTGGAAGTGCGCCCCGAAGTGCAGCTTCGCAATCCCGTTCGGCGGCACAGTGAAGTACATCTTGGCCGCGCCCTGGTCCCCCACGAAGCTGCCGTACAGGGGATCGTAGACGTTGTCGGCCTCGGACATGTACACCACGAAGTTGGAGGCCGTGCCGAGCCGATACCGGCAGGCGAAGAGGAGCTCTCGGCCGGGGGTCAAGTTGTAGGTGCGCACGATGTTCCAGGGGTTCACTGCCAGGGTCATGGTGTAGCCGTCCACGCTCACTGCGCCCACGGTGTGCGTGGCCAGGACCACGCTGCATCCGCTCGCTGCTGGGACGAACCGTCCAGTTCGTCCGTGGGGCCCAGGATCTGCTCACCGATGGCGGCCACCACCTCGTCGGCCCCTCCGTCGTCCGGGAAGCGCACGGCTATCTCCAGGGCCGAGGCTGCCTCCGTGACTCCGAGCTTGCCGGCCAACAAACCGTCCACCTGCGCGATGGTGTAGTAGCTGAGCAGGGCGGCTGCGATGCTCGAGGCCGTTGCCGTGTCCTGGTCGGCGGCCGAGCAGCGCCGAGGTGATCTGGTTGGTCGTGAACACGTCCTGGTCCGGGCCCGTCCGGTAGGCCAGCAGCGCGCCCGAGATGGCTGCCTGCGTCTGTGTGTCCTGCACGCTCGCCGTCCGGTAGTCGGCCAACAGGGCGTCCACCTGCGCCGAGGTGTAGTAGGCCAGCAGCGCAGCCGAGATGGCGCTGGTCGTTTCGGCGTCCTGCGCCGTCCCCGTTCGGTAGTCGACCAACAGAGCATCCACAGAGCATCCACTTGCGCCGAGGTGTAGTAGGCCAGCAGCGCAGCTGCGAGGTCGGCCGTGATGCTCAGCGTGTCGTCGCCGGCCAGCAGCGTCGTGTCGGCCTTGGCGCCCTGGAGCGCTGAGATGCTGGCATCCCGGCTAGCAAGCTGCGCTGCGACGAAGGCCTTGGTGGCGAGACCCAGCACACCATTTGCTATCTTGGTGTCTACCTCCAGTGGTGTGTCCAACCCGTCCACCGTGGAAAGCAGGGCGGCCAGCGCGCTTGCGTCCGCCTTGCCGGCGAGGGCGGCGTCGAGGGCTGCCGTGGTGACTGCGTCCAGGAGGGCTGCTGTGATCTTTGAGTCCACCGAGGAAGTGTTGACGGCCGACTGCAGGTCGTACGCGGTCAGGGCGCTGGCGTCCGCCTTGGAGGCCTGCAGGCCT